CCGAGCAGGAGACTCCCGCCACAGCATTCACATAAACTCTAGAATCAAGCTCACAAATCGCCTAGCATTTGAACAGCACACTGACTACTAACCACTCATCTTCCCAAAAAAAAAATTTGAGAGAAACTTCGTATGAAAAATTCTTTGTATTTAAAATTCAACATACCCGTTGAGTGTACACTATCCCAGTGGAACCATTACCTTCCGAGTCATCCAAATCTTCATAACTTCCGGTGAAATCCTGAAACATTCGAAAAACGAAATTGCCGAGTTCCGATAATTACTCCATTAGGGAAAAAGTTTAATCTTGCTTCACTGTTTTGCTTACGGGATGTTGTTCGGGATCACGACCTTGTACTTGACAAATCTTCTCCCAGATATCTTCGCATCCGGATTTGTCTTGAAACGATAGGGCTAAATCGCACGTGTCCGATTCCGACCAAACTATTAGTGTTTCCTTAAAAGCAAAGTAAAAAATAAATGAGCACCAAGGTAGCCGGTGTGATCATGCATTTGTGCAGTCTCGACCAGCGGACGTCTACTCCTAAGGATTTTCACACTTTGGCCCGTGAAAAAAGTGGTCGATATGCTGTTTGGTCCTAAACTGCGAAATTCCCTATCAAAAACTTTACGCACCAATACGAGAAGCGCAAACGTACGTGAGAGCCGAATTTGACATCTTGGACGGTGAACACCGTTCCAAAATTTCAAATTCCTAGTCCCCTGGCCTTAGAATAGCCTTTGTGCCACAACTTTTACATGGTCGCACGTGAGACCTCGTCACACTCGGGAACGAAGTCTGGGTTTATTAGGCCAAATGTCCTCCTGAAGTTTACAGCCTCCGAGCCCTTCTCGATCCCGAGATAATTTTTCCATACAAAAGCCGTAGGTGGGACCTAAACTTACGTGAAAGTTGAATTCGAATTCGCGGGGTTGCACGCGGGCAGAAGACATTGCCCGAAAATTTCAGCCTTCCAGATTCCGTGGTTTCCGAGGAATTTTCCCCGCCGAAACTTTCACGGGGCCATGTGCAGTACATGAAGGC